GGGGCTTTTGGTTTGTCCGAGGCCGGCCGGGAGGCTCCTCTGGGCGCTACTCGGCCGTGAGGGGCTGAGGGAGGGCCCCTGGGAAGCTGCTGGTGAGGAGGAAGTGGGGGTGAGGGGGGCGGGCGTTCCTGGGGGGTGGTGGAAAGAGGTAGTAGGAGCTGCGGAGCGGTGAGCTGCTTTGATTTTGTTGTTGAGAGGCCCAGCAGCATCCTGTCCTTCTCTACGTAGCTCAAAGCCTTTTTGCCCGCACAAGTCACCTAAAAGCATAAACTACCCAAACCCTCACGCGAGAGTTTTCAAAGATGCGGTTTCCTGTTTCTAGAGAGGGGTTGTCAAGACAGTAAGCGGGAGTTAAGGCAGTAGCTCCAAGTGTCGTTTACGCGCGGTACTCCAGACGATGCTTTCTTGTGAAACTTCAGCTGGATCGTTTAAATCAGAGGCTAAGGAACGTGACGGACCTGCCCCAGAGGAAAATCTGGACTGCTCGGAGGGTGTGTGCATTGCTGCGTGCGTGGGAGAGTTCAGTCACTGTCCTCAGGGGAATTCGATGTGAAAGATTTCTGTGCTAGGGACACATATCAAACCGTAACATAACCCATCCAGCTGCTTAAATGCCTCTCCTTCGTTGCCCAGTAGCTGTGAGAAATCTCCCTCTGCTTTTGGCCTCCCTCTCAGAAATGGCTGGGTGGAAGGCCTTGTGAATTAGAGGAATGCTCTTCTGTGTTCTAGCAGGATCTAGCTTTGTTTGGCATTGAAAATCTCTCATCAAGAATAGTTAAGCAGAGATCAATGACATCACTCGGCAGGAAACACTCTGGGAAGGAAGAGTGGTTGTCAGAGCAATCGTGCATGAAGATAAAAGACTCACCAGAAAAATTGCCAATAGCTGCGTGCTTCATTGCTCATAGGCTGACTTGTCTGAAGTATAGACATTGCAGATACTGGGTTTTACTTTTAGAGAGAAATTTCGGCTAAGAAACATGTTGCCCGTTTTTTTACTGCCTATGACTGTAAAAAGGATTCAGCTGGATGTGAAATTACACCAAATTGCCTCCATGCAATGGTCTGTTCCTCCCTAACTAACTGCTCTTTGCAAAAGCCATCTTGAAGGCAAAGCAAGCTGGTAAGCGTCACATGGACAGGAGGCCAACTTTTTTAATGCCAGGCAGAAGGCAAAGTTGGGTTTGCAATTGGTGATAATTTCTGGCAGCTATGACATTTGCTTCTGGAAGCTACTGTATATGTAGCAACAAGTGCTATCACCTGAGATTTGTTAAGACACACCGTTTTTACTCACCATGATTAGTCACCTTTAGCGGCTACCAATTTTTTTGTAAATAAGGAAGAAGTCAGTTTTGAGGACAGATTTGAGGGGATTAAGATGATTTCGTGAATAAAATCTGTAAAATTTCCCTCTTCAGGAGGGGAGATAGATGCAAGAAGCAAGAGTGCTTGGAAGATGGGAAGGGTCAGATGCTGGTAATTTTAAATCTGTAGAATGAAAGTGGGAGTCAGCTAGACAGATAGAAGGCGGTTATAGTATGTGGGCTTTGTAAGTGGGAACAAGTACCTTTTTGGTAAAAGAGGTCAAGCGGGGGAGGGAGGGACGGAAGAGGGGACTTGGAAAACTCATCTGCCAAAGGTATAGCATGTGCTGACATTTTTTGTATTGTCATAGTAAATTGTATCATTTCTTGAAATCATGTAAATTAGGCAATAGAAGTCCTCTTGTGTTGGCAGATTTCCTTAAGAGGCTTTTCTTCATGGAGATGTCAGAGGAGAATTTTTTTTTTTTTTTCTTACTTGGTATCTCAGAGTGATAAAGCTGTATCCGAAAAACTTATCGTGGCAACAAAAATTTAAATGGATGACTGAGTCTGCAAGCCTCCAGATCAAACAGGAGGAGAAGATGTTTCTTTTTGAAGCTAGCAGCTCTTTACAGCACTCTCCAGCATGACAGGAAATGTGGAGGGGGAGGAGCTTTAAGAAGAAAAAAATCTGCATGCGTTGTTTTTTTTAAGCTTTGAAAAAAATGTTTCCTGTAAATAGTAAGATGTCTCTTAAAAATGCAGTTGGTTTGGTTAGTTTCTAAAGGGATAAAAACTTTTCTTTTTCAGATTTCAAAATTGCTTGTCATATAACTAGTGTCTTTTGCACTCCCCATTCATGTTGCTTGAATTTGCTGTCCATTGATGTTAATAGGAATAAAATGCTGGATGATTGCTGAAAATCCTTCTCCTCATTAATACTGAAGGTTCGAGTGATGGTGTTTTGTGAGAAATTATTTGCACTGTTTCAAAATCTGGACATCCATAACAAATTCGAGGGTGCTCCTTCTTTAATTTTTTTGTCCAACAGTGGAGATTATATTTGTTGCTTTTTTTCCTTCCTCATATGATCTGTAACTCTGAAACACTGAAAAACATTTTGTTTCAGATTTGTTCCTGACCTTCCATTAAAAATGTCCAAGGTAAGAATAATATTTCTCTATTCAAATGTAACAATGTAAAACTGATTTTGTTTTTAGGTATTTGTCTTCAGGCAGAGAATGTGTAATTGTTACATTATGTTTGATGGTGATATGTAATCTAAAGTTAGGGTACATAAATAAGAATTCACTTTTAGAAACCACGATATTGAATGATTCAATAATGTAAAACAGGTAGGCAAGTACTTTCCTACATGTAGTATAAAATCCTTTAGCAAACTGATAGTATTCCTGATGTTTACTTTTTTAGTAATGGAATTGCACAGAAGCTCCCTGTCTGTGACATTTTTGCGTAGAAACTTCCATCGTGCTGCTGTTTTGAGCAGGAATAATTTAAGAAAAGAATGTTCTTGGGTTTAATTTCTTGTTCACCTCTTTGTTCCTCTACTAGTTAAAGTCAACTGATCTGTTTAGCAAAATCCTTTTTAAAAAAGCGTGGTAACTTAAATAAGAAAATATTACTGACATGGTGTATGGTATTCCAGCAATTCTTGGTTCCATGCGTTTGGTGTAATAGGTGAAACTTCCTTGTTAGTTTATTGGCAGGGAAATGCATGACAGAAGGTACTTGAGTAATGTATTTGAATAGGGAAGCTAACAGATCTAAAGATTTCTCTGAAATTGGGCATACAACACTGCATTGTATTTTTTTCCCACCTTTTAAAGAGATCTCTAAGCCTGAGTTCCAGCCAATGTCTACCAGTTCATGAGCAGACGTAGTGTTTTTATTTGGATGTGCTAAAAGCAGATTAGAAATAGTTTCCTTTTTACTTGAGTACATCAGCCCTGTCCACAAGCTTTTAAAATTGTAAATGTGTGTGAAAGCGCTGTTTTAAAAGTATATGATTAGCAACTGCACTTTAAACTTTAAACATTTTTGGGTTTTTTTTGTGTTCTTGGCTGGATAGTTGAATAAACAAAACTACTTTTTTTTTTTTAACTCAAGGTGGATGTAGTTGCTCTATTCTTTACTGTGAAACTGCTCAATAATGTGAACAGCCCTGTAGTTTTCTCTTTGTACATCATATAGTTTCAAACTATATGATTGAAAGTGTAAAGTGATGGGGGAGTAATCCTGTATCCCGTCATTTCCTGATAAATGGGAACAGCTTTATTTGGTCTTTAAAAGTTCTAGTGAGAACAGTAGCAGTCAAATGGGGACTTCAGGAATCTAAAAGATCCACAGAATTTCTGATTTTCCCACACCTTTCTTTGATTATGGTTTATAATATTTGAAATGACTGAGGAAAGCAGTAATGCAAACAAGTATGTCTTGTGTCTTATTTTATTTTATTTTTAGCAGCAGCCTGCTCAGTTTACCAATCCAGAAACCCCTGGCTATGTTGGATTTGCAAACCTTCCCAATCAGGTTCATCGGAAGTCTGTGAAAAAGGGGTTTGAATTTACTCTTATGGTGGTTGGTAAGGAAACGTTTTATAGTCTTTCTGAAAATTGGTATTTGCTTACGGAGAATTTGGAATTAAAGTGAATGTTACTTCCACTGTTACAAGCCCTTCAGGTAGTATCCAACAGCTCTTTTGTGTACAGCAGCATTGAACTTTCTTTTGTAACGAATTAAGCCATGTATTGGTTGTTCTCCACGTTACAAACCATGTCTGAATACGTGAATAATTTTGTGAGTGAAGCAAAGAAATTTTGTTTTGCACTCCGGTGATCGTTACTTCCTTCTCTTCTGCCTTATAGGGTTCGTGTATTCCCTTTAAAGTTTAGCTTAAAACTTTTTGGAGTTTTAATGCAGCCTTTTTTGCTTGCTTCTTTTGGTTAAGAGAATAGCCTTAAGACCACTATTCTATTTAAACTGTTTATTATATTTATGTAGTTCGAAACAATCTGAATTCTGCTTTGTCTACCCCTTCTTTCCTCCCCTCTAAATATTCTTGTGAAAGAAGAATGGGCACTAGATTAGTTGATTTTGATATGATCTATTGCTTTTTAAGTTAATATGAGTTATCTGTTAGCAATTATAATTTAAATTGGAATTCTGTTGGGCATTTCATTGAGAATCTGTGTTGATATCAGGAATGGAAAGAGAAATCAAGTGTGTTTACAGATATACTTGATTTTCTCAGGGGTCTGTGTTATTTTTGCAGATCAAACAGACTCCCAAATCAGTATAGACCATACCCAAGTTACAGTTACTATCTTGCCTGGTAATGCTGCTTGGGAGCCATAACGTATAAATTTGGTGACCGAACTCTGTAATTCTCAGCTTTAAAATAGGCTTTTACCAAACATACCCTAATAGGTTGGTTTAACTACGATAGGGTTCTTTCTTACTGTCATCGTAAGAAGTAAATTCCTTTTGTGTGTTACGTTTGCCCAAGAGCTATGACTGTGGAAATGAGCAGGAGAGGTGGGAATATGCGTGATAGTAGATGTTTAAGTTCTTAATTTTTTTAGATTGCAATAATTATGGAAAGAGTCTGCCCAGAAACCTGTCATTAATTTTGCCAAACAGCAGCCACAGCATTACTCGTATCCTGTTTCTATTTTTTACAGTTCAGTGCTAGACAAAGCTGGCCCTTATTTTTGTCTTACCAGAATTTTATGATAGTTGTTTACAGTTACCTGGGTTGAGGGGGAGGAAGGAGGAGGGAATGGGGACATGGAAATTAAACTCAGTCATACTGCTTGCTAAATGTGTCTTTTCATTGTTCAGAATCATTTTATTTTAGCTTCACTGGATTTGCTTAGCATGACCATCTTAGTGGAGACCTTATAAAATCTAAGGGTAAAGCCACACTCTGTGTACATGTTTCGAATTAGAGTATCTACTTTAACTCTTTGGAGTTTACTGCTCTGTGATCCTAAAAATCTAGACAGTTATGAAAAATAAAAAAGATACGTTTTATTGGTTGTAGCTAAACTTAATTTCCACAGCTCTTTGAGATTGATTGCAAATAATGCCATGTAAAACAGCTCTGGTTGAAAGCTGTGTAAAATTGTATAGGCCAAACAATTATTTCTTTTCTCCTGTAAGCTAGAAGATGAGGGAAAATGACGTGGTATCAGAGTGAGGGAAAGGCAATCAAACTTAACTCTGAGATATGGTTGGGTTAACTTTATGGTAGTTATCTGCCAGTATTCTAAGGGATAAATGAAGACTACAGTGAGAGAACTTGGGAAAAAGTTCAAAAAACTATATTGAAAATTTGGAGTGATATTTTAAGATACACTAAGAGAGGGAGGCAGTAGATGTAAGATAAAATAAACTATGCGTTAAGATGTTGATTATTTCAACAGTTTGGAATGTGAATTTTTTCTGTTGAAATATGCATCGGGATTTAAGTCTTTTCTCTTGTGGGAGATATTGCAATGTGTGCATTGAAGTATACTTCTTTATTATAAAGTCGACACATTTCTTAATTTCTATGCAGTATTCTGCATAGAAAGTATTCTATGCGGAAGTACAGAAATACTTCTATGGAAGTATTTCTTTAAAAGCTATCTAGACTGGCAGAGTCCTGACCAATCATTCTTCCTTTTCTCGTTGTCTTTTCTGCTATTGTTTGTCATCATTTGTGAAAACATGAACTAGGGTTTATAATACATTAGCTGCTTGGCTGCGTTGTTCTAGAGAAATCCCGATCACTTGTATTTATCAACAATTTCGTATTTATTCTCATTATTGAGCTATGACTAAATCTAACTAGTTATTTTACTTGAGATTCCATAAACCGTGACCACTTGTTAGTATAACTGCTCTTTTCATTAATCCTTGACAGAGACAACAAAAACTGATTTGTTTTAGATGTAATATTTGCCCAGACTGAAAGTATGGAATGTGCCACTGGTTAGAATCAAACTTTTTTTGATTTTGCTGAAATGGTGCCATGTGACTGTTGAATTAGTCTGACTGCACATCTCTTCCACTGGTGAAGGCTGTACTGCTAAAAAATGATCTTAAAAGATACGTTCCATAAGGCATTCAAAAATAGAAGATACTAGTCAAATCTTTATTTAAAAATAATTCCATGTCTGAACAAAAGAAAACAAGATGTTTTTATCAGATTGCTGTTGCTTAATAGATTTTGCTTAGAGGGATCAAGTGGCCCAGTGTTTACTTTAGTTTTTTGATCAATTCTGTTTACACCTAGAAGAAAAGCATAGTTCTGATAAAGGCATTGTTCAGTTAATTCAAGTACTGAGCTTTCTGACTTGCTGGTCTTTTCTTTTATGCTGTGGACATTTGTTCTGATTGATATCTTGGCCTTCAGCTAATTAGTTGCTTTTTGAACTTGCTTTTTGAACTATTGAGCCACGTGGTGGCTCAATAGCCCTAGAATCACAGAATGGCAGAATGGTTGAGGTTGGAAGGGACCTCTGGAGATCATCTAGTCCAACCCCCCTGCTCAAACAGGGTCCTCTAGAGCACGTTTCCCAGGATCGCCTCCAGACGGGTTTTGAAGATCTCCAGCGAAGGCGACTCCACTACCTCTCTGGGCAACCTGTGCCAGTGCTCGGTCACCCTCACTCTAAAGAAGTTTTTCCTCACGTTCAGATGGAACAGAAACATATTTATGGTATACGTTGATAATCCCCAATTTCTTCAGTGCTAGTGTCATATTCCTCTTCCCTCAGTTTCTTGTATCCCATATTAGCCTAAAAAGTAGGCAAAGATCACACTTTATGATGGCTGGCCATGCAAAAGTTCCCCAATGCCTTTTTCATTGTTTAAATTAATCCTATAACCTAGGCAGGATCTAATTGCTCATTGTATATAATCTTTATGTATATAATCTATATCTTCTAGAACGTTAGCAGGAAAGCGTCTTAAAAAATCATGAGACGTGGGATAGGAAGCTTTAAGCCTAATTTTAAACTGTTCGCAACTCCACTTGACTAGCAGATTTAATTACAAAACCTCAGTGAAAGCTGTGAGGCAGGGTACTATAGACCTGAGATGTATAAGTTTGTTATCCAACCCTTTTGTGCACACTTTTGTTTCTAATACAAAATTACAAGCTGTACACCAAAACTGAAGGACTTATTTACATTTGACATGAGAAAAATGTTTTGTCGGATGATACAGTTTGGATAAAGTTGGGATTAATCATGTAACTATATTGAGATTGTCTTCCTGTTGAATCACAGGTGAATCTGGATTGGGAAAATCTACTTTAATAAACAGCCTGTTCTTGACAGATCTCTACCCGGAAAGGATAATCCCAGGAGCAGCTGGTAAACACACTTTTAGTTTAATTTCTCAGTTCTTCTTGAAAATTTTTGAAGTGTAATGCCTTTATCTTTGGATTTTAGTAACAGCCAGTTGTTATTTCTAGCTATAATAATTTCTATGGCATTTTCTGATACTTGAACTGTCAGATACCAGTGCTTCTCTGAGTACCAGGGATGAATATCAGGTAGTTGCCATTCAGTCATGAATGTTGTGGTCAAGAATCATATTGGCACCTAAAAGTCCGTTCCTCTTTTTGCTTAAAGAACATCATATATGTAAACGTTTGTGCTTGTTTGGACTTGCACCTTGATTCCCTTGCTTTGAATGGATATTTTGTGAATGTTTGTCTTCAACTCTTTTTTCCTCCCCAGCCCCTTCTCCTTGTTTATCCTGTTAACCGAGGTATGCAATAATCTGACAAAAGAAAATATTTGAAGAAAATAGAGGAGGATGCTATTTATTTATTTTTTCCTCTTTGCTACTTGTTGAACGACTTATTTTAATAATTTATCATGTAAGCTGATAATTACTGATCCCTTTCCACATTATGGAGAAAAAATCCCTTACGTACCATTTAGTATTGTTTCCCAGGTTACTGATTACCTATGGTTTTTCTTAGTCCCTTTTGCCTCAGTTTCTATATTAGATTAAAAAAAAAGAGAGAAACTGCAAATAATTATCAAACAAAATTTTCCAAAAGAACTTAGTTGCTGTCTCTTGCTGTGATGTTATCAGGCCTTAGAAGGTTATCTGTGGAATAATACTCGTTATAGAATTGCATTTGCCAGTTAATCTTTTTAATTTTATCTCAAAATGTTCTGTTCTTATAAGTTCTATTCTGAAAGATCAAGTGTGTTGTCTTTTAGAGAAAATTGAACGTACTGTGCAGATTGAAGCCTCAACGGTTGAAATAGAAGAAAGGGGGGTGAAACTACGTTTGACGGTTGTAGATACACCAGGATATGGTGATGCTATCAATTGTCGAGACTGGTATGTACACAGAGTATATATTGATCTATATATGAAGACTGTTATCCGTTTTGTATTTTTCCCGGGGGGGAAAGGGATAACTGAAGTGGGGCTATGTTAACAATGAGGTACAATTCAAAGTAGACAGCCCAGGTAGCAACAGTAGCTCTTTTAATGCTCCATTTCAGAGGAAGAGTGAATGTTGCAGGGATTATACTGTTAAATCATTGTCTTCCTTTCTCCCCCCCCCCCGGGTTATGAGATGAATTTGAGGTGTGATTTCAGAGATGAGCATGCCTCATTATTTTGAGGAAACTTGGTTTAGATGTGTTTACTGCTTCAAGTTTAAAAATGTTTTAAATTGTTGTAGGTTAATTTAGGTACATAAAAACAGTCATCAGTAACTTCCAAACAATTGGAATAAATGTTGTGATTTGATATTTTGATTTCCTTTTTCTTAGTTAACCTTCTGAATTTTGGAAGGCTTTTAAGTGAACTGTGTCACTGATGTTTCTTTTATAGTCAGAAAGCAGTGGAACCATTGAGGACACAAGAACTTCAACAGAACTCTGAGACAGTAATTAATCTAGTCTTTGGTGCACATAAAAATCTACCTTTAAATCTTGTCCACATTCATCTGAGAATTCTCATCTTCACGTTTTGGGTTTTGAGAATTTCCTATTATAATAAGTACTGAGAAATAATCTTGAGTGGTGTTCAGCCATAGCCTCGCCTGTGCTTCAGCCTGCCTTCTCTCAAAATTGTTGCTGGTCCACCTCACCCTTCTCACTGCAGTCTCCTGCTGCACCCCACCGTCTCCTCTCCCCTGACTTTCTGCCGTCAGGAAGGCTTTGTTTGAGATCTGTGCTTCACTTCTAATGTTGGTGCACCTCCCTTAATCGGGAATCGGAAGGAGTGTCTCATTTATTTATGCCAATGTTTGGGTATATACTTTTTTCTTTTTTAATTCTTCTGTCCAGTAATAGACCGGAATACCAGTTTATGTAGCATGTAGTATTTATCCTTGGCAAATATACAACAGAAGGAGTGTAGCTGTTCTCCCAAACTGAACAGACTTTGTGTCTAAGGTGGAGTGGTTCAGACAGATGCAACTCAGAGCAATAATGATGCAATATTCTGGTGTTTCTGTTGCAGCTTTTGGCAGGGTTTGCTGTTGCATCTTCCGCAGTAATTTGGTACTTTAAACCAATTTGGAACAAGAAGTTTGGATTATATTGAGCATGTATTAGTTCTAGTCAAAAGATAAATACGAGGCCAGGAGAAATTTGCTTTAGAAGTTAAAAAATAAATAAATAAATAAAAAGGATATTTGTTGTGCAAACAGTTGTTTGTTTGGATTTAATTAACATGCTAAGATATGTGCTCTTTAATTTGCTGATGTTGTAAGACTAATAGTCTTCTCCATCTACAGACTGGTTCATCAACGGGATGTGTGGTGTTCTAATATTACCTTTGAAAGATCACTAAAATTGTTGAGCGTTTGGGAATGAACACGATTTCCTGAAGCCATATGCTTTTTTACAGTTTTAAGACCATAATCTCCTATATTGATGAACAGTTTGAACGATATCTGCATGATGAGAGTGGTTTGAACAGACGGCATATCATAGATAACCGGGTTCACTGCTGCTTCTATTTCATTTCACCATTTGGTCATGGGTAAGTATTTCTCTGTCATTTTATTTCTGAAGTGAGTTTACTTCAGGGAACTTGGTTTTGTGCCCACTGACTTAAATTTTCAGAATCACACTGCTGGAGTTAATGAGTGTGTTCTTTCTCTCTGCGTAAGAAGAGCACGCAAGGCTCTGCGTGTGGTCTAATATGGATACAAATAGCTGGAGTTAATCCTTTGCAGTATAGGGAGTGTATTCCCTTTGAGATGATGTTCGTGTTGGTGTGAAAACGTATTGGTCATTTAGCTTTAAAATAAATTTAACTTTTTTCATATTTTAATTTTAGTCTTAAGCCTTTGGATGTTGAGTTTATGAAGGCCATACACAACAAAGTTAATATTGTACCAGTGATTGCAAAAGCTGATACGCTTTCTCTGAAAGAGCGAGAGAGGCTAAAGAAAAGGGTAAGTTTTTCTAGCTTGCAGAAAAATGTTAGACTTTGGTTATAGCAGTGTGGTCACTGAAGAGAGGGGCATTTTCATTCCATTTCACTCCATCCTAGCCAATAAAAATATAATCTCATGTGCACAGGGTAACGTTATTTAAAATCATTAAGAAAACCTATGCAGTTTGATACCTTGCAAGTTCTCTTATTATGTGTTTAGCTGAGAAATTGTCCTTTAAATGTTGCCTGTAAAATGCAGGTTGGCTACGTTTAGGATTACATTGTAAGTGGATTTTAAAACTTTGGAAAATATCTAAATGCATTTGCTGATGGCTATTGCTCCCTTACCGGTTTGAGCAGTCCTAAAGGAGCAACAGTATCATCTGCATGTATTTGTTGCCCAGTCAGAATTCTGATGTTTGAAAAATAGGATTTTCGGAGATTTTTCTGATCTTTTTGTGTGTCCCTCTCGTTGCTGACACATTCCGATCCTTTCTTCCATAGCCCAGCCCCCTGAACAGATTCAGTCTTGCAGGACTTAATGTTGTACTTGGGGGTAGGGGGCGAAATTTTGAAAAATGCATTAGAATTAATTGACGAGAGGGTTCAGCTCATCCGGTCTCAACGATTACATCTAAAACTTGGTCTATTACTTTTTCAGTTATTTTGAAAGTCCTTATAGTCCTCTTTATTTTCATTACAAGTAGGGTAAGTTAGGCATAACTTTACTTTGAAATAGTTGTTCTGCTAGAATTCTACAGAAATGCAACATTTTTTTAAGAGCAAAATTTGGATTTCTGGCTGCTGGATTTCTGCTGCAGATACCACTCCTAAACTAGCAGTCGTGAATACAGGGGGAAAAAAAAAAACATAAGTGGTGTTTGTAGATCTGTTTTTTAAATCCCTCCTCCTCACCCCAATAATAATTTGGGAGCAAGAGCAGGAGTTTTAGACTTCTCAAAGCAATTATGACTTGTGTGTCAATGCTTCCTGGTTTAAAAAAATTGCAAAAGGTTAAGAAAGCAGTAGAGCTTAATTTCGTTGTTTGTAATCCACACAGGACAGTGCTTTTTGAATCCTTGATTGATTGCAGGGAAGGCCATTTCATTGGAACGCTACTGTGATAGGCACGTTTAAGGAGTTTTAAAATGGTTAAAAATACGTATCTATTTTATTTGAGTCTCTCTCTTGATTGCCTGCTGTATGCTGGGTTCAATAAAAATAATTACTGAGCTGTATTAGGAACAGCTTACATGGGAGGAAAGAGGATGATCGTCACCTAAATTAAACAGTTTTTCTCTCTTAATTTGCAACTTGAATGAGGAGTAAACTATGCGTTCTCAATTTCAACCAAGAAATGAATGAGCTGAGGTGAACAGAAAACAAAATATATTTGCGTATTTCAAAAATGAAATAAAGCAAGATTGCTTGAAGTTGGGGACTTCCACAACTGAAAGAACGATGCTGTCTCCTTGGTACCACAAAGTTAAAACTTCTGTGACTATTTTTTGACTTTTAAAAAATCTCTATTCATGCTTGGAAGAGAAACTCTATTTTCTTCTCAAGTAAAATTGAAATCAAGTAGTATTCCCTGAGCAAGGGAGATAGTGCTTCAGTTTTGACGTTTGCAGCTAATGTGAAACAGGATAAATTGAGAAGGAAGAGGTGTTGTATTGTTTTATAGCTTTATTTAATTTTAAACTTCACGGCTAGTGATAGATGTAATTTGGGGTATAGTAAAATATCAGAGACTGAACAATGTAGTGCTTTTTTGCAGATCTTGTTTCTACACAGTAATCAGTGTTAGTGGGTAGATAGTCTCTTGAGGGACGTAATGTTAGCATATGGCAATGTGCGTTATTGTTTGCCTGAAAATCTACAGAAAGTGTTTTTTGAATATCGTGATGGAATATGGTGTTTAAAAACAGGTACATTGCAAGTAATTTGGATCAGTAAGATAGGTCCAAATTTCTCAAGAGATGGTTTTTGTTTAACTGATTAACTAATTTTACCTTAAAACTTAAGTTCTGACTTTACGCATTTATTACCTCTATTTCTTATACATATACATCTCAGATTCTGGATGAAATTGAAGAGCATGGCATCAAGATTTATCACCTACCTGATGCTGAATCAGATGAGGATGAAGATTTTAAAGAGCAGACCAGACTCCTGAAGGTAAGACCAGCTTCATAGGTTACATATATAGATGAGGCAAAAACAGTATACTGTATTTCAGACTGCTCACGTGTCTTCAAAAGAAGTTACATGCTGTGAGACCTTGAGACCACTGTAGCTCTCTGCCCAGGCTTCCCTATCTGGGAGATGGTGATAGCAATGGTTACTTTTTTTTTTTTTTTTGGTAAAGTATTTTGACGGCTTCAAATTAGCATTACAAACTTACTACCACGATAAGCAGTGCTGAGCAAAATGGGAGTTGTTCATTGAGTTCTTTTTGTTCTAGTTTATTCCTAGTAATTTTTGAATTTTACTTTCAGGCCAGTATTCCATTTTGTGTAGTAGGATCCAATCAACTGATTGAAGCCAAAGGTAAAAAAGTTAGAGGTCGACTCTACCCCTGGGGTGTAGTTGAAGTGGAGAATCCAGAACATAATGACTTCCTGAAGCTGAGGACCATGTTAATGTAAGTTTTAGAAAATTCCAATTAGATATCTGGAAAAAAAAAGTCATTGTGAAGCTACTCAGTCGTTGGAACCTGGGGCCTGGACAGGTTGTGGAATCTCCATGCGTGGAGACATCCAGAATTCATATGGAGGAGGCCCTGAGCAACTTGATCTAGTTGGCCCAGGCCTTAGCAGGGACTGGACCAGCTATGCTCGTGAGGTCCTTTTCAACCTGAATTATTCAGTGATTCTGTGAAAACAATCATCTGTCTAATCTCTTTGTTGAACACAGTGTGGTACAGCTATTCGGAGCCCCAAGAACGTAAAACAGGTTGAGTTATACCTGCCGCTCGTTTGAAATATCTGTATCTATAGACCTGCAAAGGACTCCACACACACACACCATGCTGTGTTCTTTGCATATTAGTGCACCCATTGCTTGTCCCTAGAGCTTGAACAGTAGCATGACCCAGCACTGCGGGCTGAGACTTGCTAAACTAAGGAGAAATAAACGTTTTTAAAAATCATGTAGGTGGTAGTCTTATATTTTGGAGTCAGTTGACTCACTATAGTGCTGAATGTGAGAGCTGCTTGAGCAATCTGATGGAACGCATGTGTGTGTGTGTATTTTTCTTCCTCCAGCACCCATATGCAAGATCTTCAGGAGGTGACCCAGGATCTTCACTATGAGAACTTCCGCTCTGAGAGGCTCAAACGAGGCGGCAGGTTGTCATCTCATGGTTATATGTTATTTCTTCCTCCTCTGATGTTACATTTCAGGTTTCTCTCCCCTTCCCCCCCCCCCCCCCCCCCCCCCCCCCCCACCCCCTCCCTCTTAGTAAATCATAGACAGCTTTGTAGCTCCAGCTGACACCAAGGTCAGTTGATCAGCTTGCACTTAGGAGTTGAGTATAAGAAAAACTGGTATGCAAATCTGAAGAAACAGCTGTGAAATTAAAAGAGTGTAGTTAGATCTCTGCTTTGCTTCAGGCTTTTAACACAGTTGGATTGGAATGTTTAAGGTAAATAAGTAGAGCAGATGTGTATGTTAAATGGCTTCTAAAAATATCTGCAAGTTAAAAATTAGTCCAAACACATTTAAAAATTTCTTTTCAGGCCTATCTGGACTGTATCTTTAAAAAGGGAAAGTTAAGTCCTACTGCAGTGCTTTATTCCACATGCTGCAAGTAACTAATTTTCTTTACAGAGCAGTCATAGTATAATGCCTTTGAACACTATTTTGAGCTGTGGTGAGTAGGGCACATCTATCCTGGTAAGAGAGGCAGGCAGAGGCCCCCCATTTTTAACTAAAATAACAGGGCTTGTAAAGTTGAGTTTAGTTCTTGTTGAAAACTGGGTATTCTGTGGTCTAGATTGTTAAGTTGCTTCTCTTATTTCAACCACTAGAGGGTTTCATAATTGCACACTTCAGTGGGTTCGATTTTCAACTTTCCCTTGAAGCAAGATGACATACTATTCTTCCCTGTTTTTCAATCCTGTCTTCTTAAGTTCAAGTTAAAAAAAAGCTTTTTGCCAAGTTATGGTGTCCGTTATCCAACAGGTATGTATGAAGGCCTTGTACATAATGTCACCTAAGGCTGTCTAGAGTTAAAATAAAGTTTACCAGTTTTTACAGGACTTAAAGCAGCCTTACCCAAGGACCTGGGATAGTAAACTGCTCTTAAGTCGGGACATCTCTGTGAAACTAAAACATGTTTTTGCATCTGCTTTAGTTAATAGGATGTGTATTTAGGTTTTCACGTTTCTGAGGTGGTATTAGGATGTAGTTATGTTTATTGTACATGAGGGTAGTTTGTGGGGGAATTTATTTCAAATTTGCACCTATTGCACGGGCAGTCCTTGATAATTAGTGCTTATTGGCTGTATTCACTAGTGTTCCAAGAGGCTTTCAGGCACAGCGGGGTTTTTTTGGACAATCTGTTTCTCTGTTAACCTTTTAGCAAACATCCATTAATTTGCTCTGCACTTTTGATAGCACTTTTATGGTTAGATTTATTAGCAGATTTTTTCCCACTGCAACGTGGGATAGGAGAAAGGTAGTAGCAGAATGGTAGGGAATATAGTACCTCCAAATGCTTTGAAGTTCAGTTTCTCAATTTAAACTGGAATGTCCCACTCAAGCAATAGTTTGCTTAGATATTAGTTGAAAATGTTTGCTTAATTTTAACAGGCATGATCAATGTTTGTACTATACTTGCCTATGTTGCACAAAATAAATCTTTTGGAATTATTAAAATATAATCGAAAAATAATCCAACTTCAAACTCTTAAGTGGAGAAGTGGGTACAAGACTCCTCCTGTTAGAAGATAGGTACAGTGATTATGTTGCTTTTATGGGTTTGGTTATAAGTGACTTGTACACGTGTGCACATGTATAATAGCAAGTTTTCTCAAAAGGTAAATGTACTCATTTATTTAAAGACTGGCATTTTATCTGAGTGCACTACTATACTGAACAAAGGATTAGGGGCTTGTTATCTTTTTGTCTTTAGCATTTAAACAACTTCTCTTACTCTTAAAGCTTTTAATAAGTAATGCGTGCTTCTTAGATATTTGATAGCAAACATGTGGATCATAAAGTCAGAGATGAGATAGACCGACGGTTCTGCCTGGGAGGGGCCGTGCTTCCAAATTCACAATTTCTTAAAGCACCAAGTATTTTGCATGTTGCTTCCATATTTTTGCTAATATCTTGTCCAGCATTATCCTGAACTTGTATTTTGATTTATTTGTATTGATTTATTGCACCAATGAAAAAGAAGAATGAAATGTTTGTAGTATTTCTGAATTTGATATACCTGTGTGGTACTCAAATTACAATCAGTTAAGGTAATGCTATGCTTGGGTAAATTGCTATGTTTGAATACTATTCAGAAATAATTTTCATTCATGCTTATATATGAACATGTGACAGGTTCTAATCTTATAGCCAGAAGCCTTTCTGAATTTATTAAAACTGTGTGGGGAAAATGCTTCAGTAAATTCTGTGTGTATTATGAAATATTCAAGGATAAGGTCTGTTCTGAGAGCTAATTTTTTTTTTTTTTTTGGTCAAAGCATTCAATAGAAATGAAAGATCCAGAGTGTATACTTATTGCTAAACAATATTTGTCTTATCTTAGGAAAATAGAAGATGAAGAAGTAAATAAAGACCAGATTCTACTTGAAAAAGAAGCTGAAGTAAGATAGCAAAACTCTGGACTAATGTAGTGGGGGGAATTGTATTCTTCTTTTACTATTTTAGGCCCCGTGATTTACGTAATCTTGTTAATTTGTAAAGGGAAAGACAGCAGAATTTGCTGATATAAAATTTTTCAAGATGAGATAACAAAACAGAATGCAAAGAGGTGTAGAAGAGTCTCGGGATACTAATTTACTGGAACAAATGGAATCTGGTTCCATACGGTGGAATCTGGCATGTTATCAATGGATTTAATGCATGTTGCAGGGGGAGGGAGAGCTACCCTAATACATGAGAAAAGGCTCTGAAGTTAGTAATTCAGTCAGTTCAGCTCTACAGCAGAGGAGGAAACAATGTTAGGAATTGTCAGGAATAATGAAGAAAATGGAAATTCTCCTGCTGCCGCTATGATAAATCTATAACGCATAGCTCAAACACTGTTTTCGTGGTCCCCCTAACTCAGAAAAGGGATAGCCGAGACTAGAAACAGTACAATGAATAGTGAAGAGTAGGCGTAAAGGCTGACCTGGCGATCCAAAGCAGCTTCTATATGAGGGCAGATTAGGCAGTGTTCTTGTTGGGAAGTAGGTGACAGAAGGGAAAGTTATAGTAAGGAGCTTATATAATCACGGTTGACATGATGAACAGGAAACTACAAAGCAAGAATCAGGTCACATCTAACAAAGTTAATAGGTATTAGATTTCAAACAGAGAAGGTACTTCCAACAGAGTCTGTAAATTGTGGAATTCATTGGTGTGGAATTTTGTGCATATCAAAAGTAAAGATGAGCTCAAAAATGCTGAGACATGTTCACAGAGAAAGTAAAACTCACCAGCGCTTGCTAAACACGGCAAGAAAAAAATTTAGTTTAGAAAGTTCCAAAGCAACAGATTTCTGGGATTTGAAAGGGTATGTCAGGAAATTGTGTGTGCAGCTAGCTCTTGTGTTTTCCCATGCATCCGCTGGGGAGCCAGTGTTGGAAGGATGGCTGAGTTAGATGGGCCTTTTGGTCTGCCCTAGCCTGAGAAGACCATCAAGCCTCCAGCAGTGGTCTTACTGGCTATCAAAGTCCAAAAGATAACCAGAAAATAAAATAAAAAGGGTCATCCTTTCAAGGAATGTGAAGAAAAACATGATAAACATCTCACAGCTTTAACTTGTTGTTGCACTTAAATTTTTAGCCTATGACGTTTGAAGTGTAGATGCACAAAGGCAAAGGCAACCAAAACCATTTCAGTAATGAGGTTAACTTCCTATTTCTCAGGCAGTTTGGTACTGTAAAAGAATTTCTAGGCATTGTACATGCACATGGGTGAAGTAATCTCAGTAGCTGAATTCCATGATTACACTGTATTTAAAGACAGCAGTGCTCTAAAACTGAACTTGTGGGAATTCAGCCCTTTTTAATAACGCATATGGTGTCTCCTTGGATGGTTTGCCTGCAATACTTGCTCCCACGTAGTCGTCGCTAGCAAGAGAGTCGAGAAATAATCCTGAGAGCTTTGTTCGGAAAGATACAGGTGTAGTTGGAAGGACATAAATGCAGTCTACAACCTCCTTTTCTGCTGATAAGCATTGGTAACCGGGTTTGTTCAGCACTTCAACACCACAAGTCTTGCACATTTAACTTCAGAGAAAGCAAAGACTTCCACTCAGGGATGCTTAAAATGTGATCCTAAATTACAATGATAAAGCCTGTTCATTTCAGTTAGTAAATTTCCTGGATGAAGCAATATTTTAAAAGCACCATAACCTGAGATTACTGCCCATGAGATAAACCTAATGCAAACGTGTGCCCTCTTTAATATAAATAATTAATAGTTATGGTGGCAGTGAAGAATCACGCTTTGAGACAAGATACGGCTAAAGGATTCTCCTATACTACCTTTCCAGCTTCGTCGCATGCAGGAGATGATTGCGAGAATGCAGGCACAGATGCAGATGCAAATGCAGAGTGGAGAGGGAGACAGCAGTGCAGTTCACGGACACCATGTATAAAGTCTTTGGTAAGATGTTCAAACAGCCACCTAAAGGATTTTTCTTTTAGTAACTCGTTATTGTGATTGGTATTATGAAGTTTTGGAAAAACGTTTATAAGATCAGTCTGCATGTATTTCAGTCCTCATTTTAATTTTTAATGTGCAACTAGTGTTTGTGAGGTGAAATGGCTTGAAGCCAAACTAGATGATAGTGTAGGTGTGAACATATATTTTTCTGGAAAGTCTAGACAATATGTGTTGGTAAGAATTAGAGAAGGAGTTTTTAAAATAGTGTAAACAGGTGATTCTTTGACTCATGATGAAGTCATTGTTTCATTGTGACTGTCGATGTACACAGGTTTTCAGTTTTCTAAATGTATAGGTAAGAAGATAGCTGATTTTAAATTGTATTTTTCTGTCTCCTTTTGCAGATTACTTTATACCCTGTTAAAGTAAATATTCTGGAGTTGAATTATGATGGTGTTATACAGGAAAGGATGCCTTTTGCTCAACGTGTGACTTGGAGTTTGCTTTAGAGTTTAACATGGAAATGCATTGTGGTAACTTTTGTGATATGTATTTTATAACATGTAGTCAGTCAGTATTTTATATATTATACACATAGGACCTTGGTTCTGTTTACTAATTCTTATATTGAGCTTATTTTCAATTTCCCATTGTATTAGGGATACAAAGTAGACACTGAAACTTTTCTAGCCTGACTTGTCATTAGTTGATTTTTACTTTTTTTCTGTATGGCTTATTAGCCCTCTGCTTTTAACTTCTTATTACATTTAGAAATTAGCAGCTGTCAGTGATATCTTGTTATAGTCACCTAATGAGGGAGCCCTGCAATGCTAATCTTAATTTTGTATTTTTTGTAGTGTTTACAGGTTTATGTCTGTGAGATACTCGGCCCTCCTTTTGCTCCTGCTCAGTGCAGCAGGTGATTTTCTTGCCCTCTGCTATTATCTAATTAAAATTCAGGCATGCCTTGTGTCTTAACAAGAAGAGGAAATGCCTCTTTAAGGGGCACACTGTATTCTATATGACAGGCATTATTTCCTTCAGATTTAACCTTGAGGGAGGTACCATCCTTATTGCTTGCCTGTAATCTTTTACTCTATTGCAAATACTTTTAATACTTTTTAAGAGTTTCTTGTAGATCAGCACAAGTCAATACTGCTATTTTCTGGCATTACTGTAGCAAAATAAACTAGAATAGTGTTGGTATCGGCAAATGAAGTAAACCCCAAAGAGCAGTTTTCCATGCCTAGGTGTTTCCCATAATCAAAATGACAGTAAGTAAAATAATTCTTACTGAGTTTTCATACTATTTTTAGGGCATTGCAAACAGTTAATTTTAGTATAAAATACGTACTAGCACACTCCTCTTCTTTTAGAGTGATCCGTGCCTGACAGGATCAATGCAAACTGTATTTTAAGGTCCTGCTCCAAGATGGAGTTAGCAGTATTATTTTTGAAGTGACTCTGATATGTTACATGCTTTTTTAGGCCAAGGTCACTTTCCTTAATGCGAATAGTAAGGGAGCCTTTTTTTGCCCTTGGCTAGACTTTTTCGACCTAGCATGGCTTGTATTGTAGCTGCAGCACGTAAAAACAACTGTAGTATACAGCTACGTATGCAGTAGCTGATGAGGTAAGCAGAAATACACCCTGCTTGGCTTTTCTACTGCTTTTGATAAAGCCAGCAATCAGATTTCCTGATGTGATCTGTTACAAAACGTTGTTATCTGAACAGCTTATACATAGATAGAATTATGACCTTTTTCTCTTCTTTGAGCTCAGGTACAGTAGTGACTTTTATAAAAATAAATAAATTTTTAACGTTTCTTTGAAAAAAGGAATAGGACTTATACAGTTAATGTATATTTTCAGTGGTACTGAAATGGCTAGATTAAATATCAGCTTGCTTCGTAACTGAAATTTTTATCTTCCCAAAACTACTGTTTATGAATTTTGTAATATTTGAATCTTTTTAAAAATGTGAAGTAAAATCCTTCATCATAGGCTTTGCTAGGAAGCTCCAGTGCTCTCCTCAAAAGCAATTATTCTCAAAGTTTTGCACATCACTCTTTTAGTCTTCCCTCATCATGACAAAAGTGAAAACAAGGACCTTTTTATATTTTTAGATGCATAGAAGTATTAAGTTCTGTTTTGTCGAGTAAGTACATATTAAACATATTTAGAAATGCATGTTTTTTCCATATTTTTGTCTTGCCTTTCCTAAACAACATGTAGAAAGAAAAACGTTGCAATATTATCAGAAAACAACATTCCACGGCACTTCTTTCTAAATCTTTTGACACATTTTGTGAATCGGTTGTCATAAATATACCAAAAGACCTATAAACTCAAATCATTAAGTACTTTGGAAAGTCCCACACTGTTCTTCAGTTGCAGCAACTCTGGTTTTGTTTTGACACTGTAGCATTTGTGTACTTTTAAGCTATTTGTCTGATATCTGTTACATATTTTGGATATAGCATGCTCCAGGTGCTGTCCACTTTGCCAAGGAGAACTACTCCATGACATTTCTGGTTTTACATACAAGGTTACTGCGGTATTGTAAGCTGCAATAGTACTATGAAGCAGTACTTGAAGAAGAACTGTGAAATCTAAAATGTATGCAAAGGGGGACCAGTTCTACGCGTAACCCTCTGTGTATGTTTGTTTGATGGTCTCTTTTCCTGTTTTTTCTGCTTATGCTAACATGGGAACAAAAGCAGATTGTCCCTGCATTTAGTGCTGTATTATAGTTTGGTCACTACCTGTGGAATTGTTTAGGCAATGTGTTTATTCTTTGAAATAGGTATGTATCTATTAAAATATTTCATCATGATAAAGTATTATGGCTCATTCTTATATAGCAGGAGAAACGTTTTCTTTTTTTTTTTTTTTTTTTTTTTCCCCCCATTGGAAAAAGCAAGTCTATGGCACTTGCTGTTTTAACTGAAATACTTAGGATGGCTGTTTGTTTCTTCTTTCTAAGTCTTTGGAGCGGTCATTCATCGTGTGCCTGACATCTCTGAAGATCTCTCTTCCCCCTTCACTTTTCTTCTGATGCTCTTGCAAAGCTAATTGTTTCATTCATTGTCTCACCTTTCTCAGATCCTTTCTCCTACCAGTACTTGAGTTTATCTGAAAAAGACTTGGAGCCAAAAGGTAGATGTTGTTTGGTGGCTTCTGAACTGGCCACAGTTCTTCTGTTACAGCATGGTTACAGTTTCTATTTAAGGAGACAGAATGCTTTTAAATTTATAGGGCTTTATAGTTGGTAGCCAAAATGACTTGTTCTTGATACAAAAATTTGACTATTATTTCTTTCGTACTGCCCTTGGCCAAGACTATAATAAAAGTGCTAAAATACACGTTTTTTTCCTATATGATTCCTTGTTGTAATCCACTCTAGTAATATTAGTCAGTTTGCGGTCATACGAATATAAAGGAGAAATTTAGACTTGAGTGAAAGGGAAAAGCATTAGTGAAACTGCGTAAAATATGGCTATGAAATATTGCATGCTTCAAGATTATTGGTACAGTGTATTTCCCTATGGGTGTTCCCAGAGCTCCCAAAGGTCCGCTTATGGGATACTGCTTTTTCAGCAGCTCTCGCCAAACTTTTGTGTCTCTTAATTATAACGTTAGCACAGAATGCAGCTACTTGTTGTGGCTGGTGCTTTAAGTATAAGAGGTCAACGTGTTCCCCAGTGAACGTTGCTTAATTTCTGGAGACACACAAAGGGTATTTGATCTTTGTACTAGACATTCCAAAATAATTTAGGACTCCGTTCCTGTGAAACTACTTCAGCTGCCCCTATGACTGTTACAGATTAAGGGCGCAAGGCTGTGTCCTTGTTCTTGGATTCCTGAGGTAAACCAGAGGATTTTATAGCAGTCCGTTGAATTTGAAATGTGTCACTTTCTCATGTGCCATGGTCTGGACAGTTCACTTTAGATTGCTGTGTTGCTGCTGGGAGGTGCACATTATTGCAGTCTTATCGTTCCACAGGGGGTAAGGCTTCTGCATGTTGTGAATTTTCATATATGACTTTAAAGTATGTTTATGTTTTATTTACTTCAAGTGTTTAGTGTAGGATTGATACATTTTAGTCTGTAATGAGAGAAGAGAAAGCATCCTTGAATGTGTCAGACCTACTTTTTTTGAGAGAAGACTCTTCTTCTGTGTACTGCCTGTGTCTAGAGTTTTCAGAATGGCATCCATTCTGTCAAGCACAGAAGATTATTTCCTGGATTCAAATCCAGTTCTGGACAGGAGTGAAGGAAAGAGAGTTTCACTAAAAGTTGCGCTATGAAAAAGTTGCACTTCTGGAAAACTTATTACAAAAAATCTTCCAGGTTTTCTTACCAGGTACGCTGAATGCTAAATCAGGCAAGTCCTGCTTTTTTCCGATAGGCCATAGGAAAGTGTAAGGATAAGTATACTTCCATCTGCTATAAAGAAGTTCGTTGCAATGAGATTGGGGTGAGCTGAAAGCATAATCCAAACCCGGTCATACATGTTTCTGTACTTGACATCATCTAGAAACAAATGAATAGAGAGAATAGCATCTTAAAATGGAACTGGATTGGCTGTCCTAGAGCCCAGGTTTCATTTCCGGATGTGTTGCTGCTCATGTATGTCTTGAGCAGACCATTGTGTCTCTACTTCTCTCCACCATTCCCTTATTTTTAGACTGCAAATTCCTTAGGCCAAGGAACTATTTCTCATTATAGCTGGTACAGTGGAGACCATGATCTTGGTAGCAGCTGGGCAGCCCCAGCTGTAACTGAAATTTGCTTGGAGATACGTTTGGCTGTTAAAATGTGTTAGTTCTGTGAACATAAAGAATGGTAACTGTGGCTGAGGACTGAAATAGCATGGCAAAACTGACATGTAAAACACCTCGCAAAAGTAGGCAAAATTATTGTAAGCTTTCTGTTGAGAAGTGTGTGGATTAGTGCCAGTAATCCACAAACCTTTTTATTGTACACCTCATGAGTAAGAAGAAAAAGAGCAGGAGTTTTAAAAATATTGAATTAGAATATTTTAGTATAAATATTATTAAAATCATGACCTGAAAAATAAGTCTAACTACTCACATTGAAACTTTCCTTAGTACGATGGCTTACCATTGACGGTGCTAGGAGGAATTTTACGCTAATGAATTTTTTGTAGGCAGCATGCTGACATACATGCTCGCACATTGGAACAAACTTAATTTAACTTAAACTTGCATAAAGCAGAACTATCCCGTTGTTTTGGAGGAATTGTAGGGCATAGTATATGGCTATGCTGATGTATTCAAAATTTTTATATGCAATAGCGTAATACAGCTGAATATACTTGGATGCAAATTTTCTGTGTAACTGCTTTCTCTTGTGCATGTGCATCTTTCCCTTTTTTTTAGTTTTTTTTCTCTGAATGTATTTCTCATCCAATTGTCCTTCCTCCTCTATAAATGTTTCTTCTCCAGTCTTTTCTTACTCCTTCCAACTCTTCTTCAACATACTTAAGATTACTGTCTCTTGGTCTTCTTTGTACCCTTCAATGGATTTCCTCTTCTGTCGCTGGACTCCTGCCCTTTCTTTAGTTCTTCCATTTGGTATCCTGCAAGTTTCTGGCATTCTTCTCTCATCTCATCCATACCTTTGGGGTAATATTTTTGTAGGTTCCACTGTCCTAGTTAGAATAACAGTGGGTTACCAACAGCAGTGGTCTCTTTTTCTGAACAGCGTGATTGTAGTTTGTTCCCTGGCCGTCGCGGAAGAGATCATTTAGAGCCTCTTGTGTTCCTGTTTCAAGTCATTCTGAATATTAGGGTGGCTGGGCTGAAGATCAGATTTATACCACTTGCTCCTAAGCTTTCCATTTAGTTGCCACCTGTGGATAAATTAGTCATACCTCGCTATTCCTAAACACTCTAATGACCTCAGAGAGGTAAATAAGCGACTGAGAAGAAAGCTGTCTTGTGATGTTAGAAGAAAAGAATGTTTGGCATTTCATTAACAAATGCTACCAAAAAGGACTATGTTTAACCTCTCTCGTTACAATGCCCATGCACAGTTTATTATCCTGGGCAGCAATATCAAAAGGTCTAGTGGACCAGCCCCAAAAAGGGCTGGAGTGTTTTACTGCTTTATCTTCCACCAGAGCTGGAAAATAGTAGGATATCCTCACAAGACTCTGAAGGAAATGAAGTTCAGACTCATGAATTGTAACTTTGATGTCAGTTGAATCACTCTTGTTAACAGCTGAGTTGAATGAATGCAGATGAGGGTGCTGTCTTCAGCTAACTATCTTGCACCACGTGGAGTTTGCCCTGAGGTTGACCAGTCAAACGTTGCGTGGATCTTGCTTTCTGAGTGCCTAGAATGGAAGGGGCTGGAAGAGGGTCACTGTTTCGTTGGCACCTCTTTCATAGCATTTTGGCTGGCATATCTTGCTTCTCTGTCCTGAAGGAGGAATCTCATCAAGATTTTACTAGCCTGATTCACAAATTTAGTGGTTTACCTCTTTTAAAAAAAAAAAAAAAAGTGAACAAAATACCTGCAGACTGCTGTTTCTTGAGCTGTGTTTAAAAAAAAAAAGAGAGAGAGAGAGAGAGAGAGAGAGAAACAAAACCCAAAACCTCTCCCACTACCCCAAGCCCAAACCCACTTTTTTTTTTTTTTTTTGGCATTTCTGGAAACTTTGTAGTAGATTCTGAAATGTTGCATGCATGCTTTATGAAAGTATCCGAAATACAGAGTAAACAAGGCTATTAATTACTGATGGTCTAGGGAATATCCCAAGAAGGCGAGCAAAGAAGGCAGGAGTCCTGTATGGATGAACAAGGAGCTGCAGGCAAAGCTCAAACAGAAGAAGGAGGCGTACCGAACGTGGAAGCAGGGATAGGTAACCTCCGAGGAATATAAGGATGTGATCCTAGCATGCAGGGCTGGAGCTAGGAAGACCAAGGCCCATCTGGAGTTGAATCTGGCGAGGAACGTCAAGGACAACAAGAAGGGCTTCTTTCAATACACGAGTAACAAAAGGAAGACTGGGGAAAATGTGGGTCTGCTGCTGAATGGAGCAGGGGCCCTGGTGACAAAAGGACACAGAAAGGGCTGAAGTACTGAATACTGCCTTTGCCTCAGTCTTTACTGGTAAGATGGCCGCTGAGCAATCCCAGGCCCTGGAGACCCGGGAGAAAGTCCCGAGAAAGGAAGACATTTCCCTTGGTGGAGGAGGATCAGGCTGGGAATCACTTTCGCAAACTGGACATCCACAAGTCCATGGGCCCGGACAGAACGCACCCACGAGCGCTGAGGCAGCTGGCCAATGTCACTGCAAGGCCGCTCTCAACCATCTTGGAAAGGTCATGGCGCTCAGGAGAGGTGCCTGAGGGCTGGAAGAGAGCACATGTCACTCCAGCTCTTCAGAAAGAGCAAGAAGGAGGGCCCAGGGAACTACAGGCCAGTCTGTCTCCCCTCGACCCCTGGGAAGGTGATGGGGCAGCTTGTCCTGGAGACCATTTCCAAGCACGTGAAGGACAAGAAGGTGATGAGGAGTAGTCAGCATGGATCCCCAAAGGGGAAATCATGCTTAACCAACCTGATTGCCTTCTGGGATGGAATGACGAGGTGGATAGGTGGCGGGGGGGAGAGCAGTGGCTGTTGCCTCCCTTGACTTCAGGAAGGCTCTTGACGCTTATGTCCTCGAACATCCTCATAGGCAAGCTGATGAAGTATGGGCTCGATAAGCAGACAGTGAGGTGGATTGAAAAGTGGCAGACTGGCAGAGCTCAGAGGATCGTGATGAGTGGTACAGAGTCAAGTTGGAGGCCTGAAGTTCACAGT